CTTGCCTCAGAGGTTTTTGAGGACTGTGATTGGCTGAAAACCTCTGAGGCAAGCGATCTCAGTGAGGCCGCCTCACCGTGAGGCATCGGGTCTCACGAGACTAAATCCACCATTAGTTTCAGGGGAAGTGCGGCGAAGTGCGCCACAACAGGGCACACGCCGGAAAACGTCCTAACGCGCTGCTCGCCAGACAGGCGCCGAACTCGGTCGACTTGGATCCGCAATCTAAGGTAGGCGACTGGCGACTCTCGTAGATATGCCAGTACGGAACAATGCTCAAAGCGTGCGCAAGTTTTAAGTCTTACGGGTGTACAATCGTGCCTTTCAGATCATGGATCAGCTGCCGGACGACGTGCTTGCCATGGTGATGTCGCACCTGGACGTTGCGGACGTCTTCGCCTGCCGCCTCGTGTGCAAGAGGCTAAGCGGTGTGGCGCTGCACCCGGACGTGTGGCGGCATCGCTATGCCGTCCAGAGCGACAACGACTGCGTGTGCCCGGTGCTGCGCCTGGCGCCGTGCCTGAGCCGGCTCACTCTCTTCTTCGACTCTAGCGGGAGCCAGTCCCACCCGCCCCTCAACAAGTGCGCAGTGAGGAAGCTGATGATTTGGGTGGATGCTGCAGGAGGCAGGGAAGCTGCTCAGGTCATTAGACAGCAGAGGGCTCTCGGTCGGCTAAGAGCAGTTGGTCTAGAATGCTCAGAAGGTAGGCGAAGTAGGCTCGCCATGGCCGTGCTGTTCCAGACGTTGGCTTCGACGTCCGGCCTGGAGGAGCTCACTGTCAGTGGAAATGCAGGAGCACGCAGGTCCCGTCTGCGTGGAATCGTCGCGTCGTCCCTCAAACGTTTCTCGTGCTGCATCACCCGAGAGACGAAGAACTTCCGCGACTACATCGTAGCCCGCCACGCCTCCACGTTAGAGGACGTCGAGTTCGAGTTGGATCCCGACTACCGCTGTCCCACCGCCCCCTCACTGGTGCGCCGGCTGGCCGGCATGCCCAACCTGCGCCGGCTGAGCTGCCCCGTTATACCCGGGCTGGAGTTCATGGCAGCGTCCAGCTCACTGAGAGAGCTGAAACTCGTCATGAATCCCAGCAGAGCCACGTGCGGCAACGTTTGTGGAGCCATGGATCTCCTGGAACGCGCCGTCCATCTTCGTTCCATCCATCTATTCGTTGAAGAGGACGAGACCTATTACTATGAGGTAATCGTGTTCTTTGTGAGCCTAGCTTCGTCTGGACGGTCCCAAGTGGAGTCGCTGACCGTCGAACTTGAGGGAGGTCCTGGATCCCTCTGTGCACCCGCGGTGCAGTTACAGCTGCTGCGGGCGCTGCCCTCTCTGCCCGCGCTGAGGCGACTGAATGTGAATGTGCCGACAGAGGAGCTGCTGCTCGGCATCACCCCCGCCTCCGCTCCGTCCCTGCGGAGCCTCCAGCTGGTTGAGCATGGGAATTTTGAACTCACCCAGTGGATGTGCCCCAACGCCATGATGCACAGCAACAAAGTTAGGGAATTTCTATCTAGGAACCCCTTGCTTCATGTGGAGCTACGGTGCGGACTCTGCTACTCGTGCGAGCCTTGTTGCACAAGTGAATGCTCATATAGCAGTTCTGCAGATAATTGTGATAAGGGTAAACCATATGTATGCATCGGCCTTTTAGCTCACCCTATCGACGAATGCCCCTCCCCACAAGACCACGCGACCGATGTTCAGTGGTTCCACATCAATGATATGAATCCACAGATTGCTTCAGTACTTTTTAATTTTTAGAGTAATATGACACACTGTATACTTAATGTTCGTGTTTTGCTAAGTATGTTTACCTTTGTTATCCAGTGGTAAAATCTATAATTATGCTTAAAAATTGACATTTGTAACAATTTCTTAACTGGTTCTTGTCAGTTGGAGTACGGAATATTACGTTAAAAAACAAATTGATTTCCTGTTGCAAAAATCTCAATTTTAACTATGTACAGGACAAATCAAAAGGTCGCAATGAAGCTGTTTGCTTTTAGTGTGGCTCAATGCTGTACCAAACGAACTCTTTGCCAAACTTTTTAAACCTTCAATTATCCACATACATGGACTTGAGCGTTGATTGCTCCGATGTACACTTGCAAAGGCACAGGCGTTTACTAAGACAAGGGCCATGGGAGTTATGGGAGAGGGGTGAGCTGATAGATAAAACACCTTTCCAAGAGTTAGAGATGAAAACAGCTCCACAGCAAAGTACCGGGTGACCCTGTGAAAAAGCGGCGGGATTGCATACTCAATATGGCCGCAGGGGCCACGGCCTCTTACGGTGTAAAGAGTAGGCAAACCTGCAACACGGCTGCGTATTCACAGTTACACCCGATGGTGATGACGGATCTAACGACGCACGAACACGGACACCCCAAAGTTGCGAGCGGCAACGTCAGAACGCCCCGAACGTCCTGCCAACTAAAACTAAAGAAAAAGTAAAAGAGGTGCGTCAAGAAAGGGGCACGCAGAAGTTTGATAAATTAAAGGAGAAAACAAAAGCATTAATGCGGCACATAGGAATGTAATTCACATTTTCAAGTACATGAAATACAGAACAAAACACAGTGCAGACCGTGATCGAACAGGCAAGCATTATATGGGGATCCACGGCCTGTCAGAAGAGTGATCCTCAGGAGCGGAACATTTGTCAAGGCTATGTGAGAAAATACCGATGATCATCCCTTGGTTCTTCCTCAATTCTTGATGACATTCCAATACGCAAGCGTCGCAATGTTGCCGATTACACACATTGTCGAACCCGTTCACCCGAATATGGAGCGAAGGGTTCGCCTCCAGAGTAGCCTTCAATGCTTCCCAGTGCAGCCAAGAATGCTTGCAGTTGCTCGAACTTTTATAACGATCACTGAGCTCCAGCGTCCGCAGAGCCGGTGCTGACGCAGGTGTGATGCTCAGCAGAAGCAACTCGTCGTCTGGGTCAGCAGAGGACACGTCCAGGTAGCGCAGTGCTGGCAGCTGGGGGAGCGCGCGCAGCAGCGGTCGCACGTTGTAGAAACCGTCAAGCGACAGCCGCTCTAAATGGGATCGCCTGCTTGAGGTCAGGGCTTCGATCAGCATCGTAACGAAATTTAGATTGAACTCAACATCGATGTAATCCAAGTGTATTTTGCGCAGCTGGTTCGCTTGCCGAAGAAACTTGGTAATACTTCCGGCGAAATCCTGGTCTAAATATATATGCAAGGTCAGCTCCCTCAGCGTTTTGCACTCTGCGACGATCTCCAGCCCTGGTATATCCGCTCTGCACGACAGAGTATGTAGTTTAGGCAGGGCACTCAGCAGGGTAGCCGTCGCCTTATTGTCCCAGGGTGGGCAATGTAGGTTATAGAGATCAATGTCCTCCAGTGTCTTTGCATGACCGGTTAGTATGGTGCTCACGAAAGGCATGGCTTTACTGATAAAACCCTCGTTATCGTCTGGGGAACTGAAACGCGTCAAGGACGGTATGGGCAGCGCGCTTGTGAAAGGACGAGAAATGCGAGGCAGGCGGCCTTTGAATTCAAGTGACTCTAGTCCAGAACATGTCGCCAACGTTCTGAGAAACACGTCGGCTCCACCACGGACATAGTTGACATGAGAGTCACCTACTACCACATGCTTGAGGCGTCCGAGTGTCTCCTGGTTGCGAACAACCAGGGCACTTTCCAGGTCATTGAAATGGTTAGTCTCGAGTACCAACGAGGCCACGGCACATCTGGTCGTGGTCAACGCCAGGGTCGAGTCGACATTGTCAACGCCGGTGACTTGCAGCTTCTGCAGACACGGCGCTAGGTTCAGCACCGCGTTCGCCCATGGTTCGTTGTCGGAGACTGTTCGATGGCGCCAAAGGTCGCGGTGCAGGGCCACATCCGTGAGCCTCTTGCAGACGAGGCGGCACGCGAGGACGTCCTTTACTTCCAGGTACTGCATCACCACCAGCAGCACGTCGTCCGGCAACTGGTCCATCCTCTCCAAGTACACGGTCCAGGGAAACTGCGACGAAGTACACTGCGCACGAGAAACACGTTTATTAGACAGATGCTTCGGAGAAAGGAGTCTAATTTGTTGCTGATAGTACCAAAAACAATGTTAAAATGTACACATCCCAATAATGTTTGAGTTGAGGGACGGGCGACAGTAGGGGACTTTGCCGGGAAAATGCCCCTGGACGAGGGGATTCATCCAAACTTGATAACCATTAGCTTCCCGACGCCGTCCTGATGGAGGCACGAGGAGTCGAAGGACGGTGCCAGCCGAGCGGGGTGTACTTCGGCACGAGCCGCGACCACGGCCTCGTCGCGAGGGCGGCGGCGCTACCGCGGGGTGCAAATGATACGGCTCGGGGGCTCTGCGGAGAAGAGATTTACGAAGCGTGAAGCGAGAGGCCCTCGCCACCAGTTCAGCATCAATCACCGTGAGCAGGCCGAGGGCGGTGCGGGGCGGGGTGGGGGCGGCCAAGTTTTCAGCACATTTCTCTTTATTACGC